CCCCCCGATGCCAACTCTAATGTACCCCTCCTTGTACATAAAAATAATGGAGTAAATAAAGACATTGACAAGCACTTTATTAAAAAATAATAATTAAAAAAGTCCCAAGAAGTTAATCCATTGTCATTCACCTTATCCAGCAATATGGATCCTCATCAATCACAATGAACAACGCCCCTCAAAAGAAATAACCCACCAACCCACCCACATTGATAGCCATTCATTAAATAACTGCTGCTTGATCTGTGGGAAGGAGCAAGGCCATATTTGGGCAATTATGTCACCACTATCACTGCCCCTTTTCTTATATGGCCATGTATGCATATGGCTTGGGTGACGTCAGTGGTTGCTAAGGACACAGTGGGTGCAGGCACTCATTGTGTCTCTAGCAACCATTGAAAGCTGTCATATATAGTAATTAGGGATGCACAGATACCGGATTTTTGGTATCAAGTACAATTAATGATATTTTGCTTTTGGTACTCGCCGATACTGAGTACCGATACCGGTGCTTCAGCTGGCATGGAGCCGGCATCCTGGGCAATCAGAAAGCCAGGTGGCTGGTAATGACATGCTACCCGACTTCCCGGCTTGAGCATAAAATCAAGAAGGTGGCTGTTTTTGTCGCCAGATTTAAATATATGTAGCACTTGGTAAATAAGATGCATGTTAATTCCCTCTTCAAGTGAAAGTTCATATGAGCTTTGCCTGCATTTCCAGGCCTGGAAAGAGTCAGATAGATTTTGTATATACACTCCTTCTGCCTCCAGTAGCTTTACTAAGTGAATATACAACTGATATGAAGGAACGCTCGCATTGTAGCCTTAACGACCTGCCAACAGGTCTCCTTAGAAGCCTCCACACATTCTGCCAAAAGTTATCCATGTCATAGGCACTTCAACATAATTGACCATAAGATCATTTAGCCAAACTGACCTATTTTCTAGGGTTTAAGGCCCAGTGGAGATACAGCCGATAGCAGATAGTCAATACTGGAGACTTTGGAGTATCTTTAAAGTTGGAAATATATCTAGATAATGTATTATCTGAATCAGACTGACATATATACTTCCATTTATTGGAATATTTTCAGTGCCAGTTCTCAAAAAAATGTTAACTAAGTGACCAGTTCTGTAGCACATAGGGGTAAATTGGTCTAAAAACAGGATCAAACACAGTATTAAAGTCTCTTGTTAGATAATCAGACCTTTTGCAAGTCATTTTGTACATGCAGACATTTATTCTAGCAATGACAAAGGGGGTCAGGACAGACACATTACCTACAGTATTAAAACATTTTGCACCAAGTATTTAACTACCAACATTACAGATTAGGGGATCTGTTCACACTTCACTAATCTGCACATTTAGAGTCTTAAATACTAGAATAGGGGCTCCTGTTGAGAAAGAGGAGTAAGTGGCAAGGAAGGCATGTGCTATTGAGGGCTGCTTAAGATCCTTGACTCTGGAGACAGACGTGTGTCCTGAAGGATAACTATATAGGGTTTGGTCCTGTGATGCTAATGGCAGGTCCAATCCCTCTGTGTCGTCACCAAAAAGTGATGATACCACTCTCAGCCTTACCCTGCACAGAGATTTTCCAGCTTGTGGGACAACAATCAAAGGCCAGAAGACTGAGAGAAAGCATCACTGGAGTTTGGTTAACCCTTTACACAAAAGAATAGCTGCCACCATGTTCTTTAATGGAAACAGGTACCATTCCCAGCAAATGCTGTGATAATACAAAAAAATTAAGCAATGCCTATGATGCCCACTGTCCCTTGAGACAGGAATAT